GAGCTGGATGAAAGTTGTTATAGCTGTAGAGGAATAGACAAGTTGGCGCTAAGTATATTCATAGAATTTTGAGTACCATATATCGGGTATATTTCAATGCATTAATAATTTCGGAAAAAGCAATTCATTGCGAAAATAAATATTATGAAATTTTAAAATATGCGGATAAAAAGGAATAGAAGATATGTGGTATTGTACAATTATTATGAACACGTGGCTTCATAACTATCCATGGCTACATTCTAGTCTAACTCGAAGGCCATAAAGAGCCTTCTTTGCCAGTTAGAAGTGTTGCTAAGGTTGATTCAGAAGTGGAGAAGTCAGCAAATGCTTCGAATGACTTACCAAACCAGGTGGTTGATGGAAATAATAGCAAGTAAAATATTTTCGGAATATAAAAGGCTTCCGAATTATTCCATCATTGAACTTAATATTTCCACGACTTTTCATGCATTGAAATATACCCGATATACGGTATATTCATTGTGATACCATAAATAAAGTAAAATTTTCCTGCCGCCATTTTGGAGTCTTCAAGTAGTTACTAAGAGTAGAATGGGAGAAAGTAATATCTTTGCTTTTGTATCTTCTAGTGGCACTTATTAAAGTCCATGAGCCAACTCTAGACACTAGATAATGATCAGTAAGCAGTAGCAATATTGCTGTAATGAATAAATACAGCAGTTTTTGAAGAATAAGCTCTTTTCACGATCGCTCCATAAACAACCATTGGAAGTAGGACTCCAAAATGGCGGAAGGAAAATTTCACTTTATTTACGGCATCACAATGAATAATATACTTAAAATTCTATGAATATACTTAGCACCAACTGGTCTATATCTGATCTACAAGATAAAATTATAACCACAGGCTTTTGATCACTCAACTGTGAGAAAAAAATGTTTGAATATTGATGGTGTGGGAGGATTAAGGCTTTACTCTACAACTGTATCTTTTTTAAAGTTATAACCTACTGACCAGTAGTAATTTGATTATGTAGAATTAGTATCTCAAATTCTCAACTAGTCTCAGCCCAGCCTCCCAGATTAAATGTATATCTCATAAATCAGATCATATCTTTTATCTTTCTTTCCTTTTTCTCTTAATCCTCCTAGTTCTTGTTACTGATTCGTTCATACTACTGAAGTACTGGAGAGATGGGGAACACACAGAGTAACTTTAAGAAGCAAACTAATGAATCTGATAAAGACAAGGACAAAGTATGTCATTAATGTTGAGTTTATTTACACAAATAATTATTTATTATGTTTATCTTTTAATCTATCTTTCTCTCTGATGTCATTCACAATAATTAAACTGTTGTCTTGGTCACACAATAGTTAGTAAGTCATAATGTGTACTATCATTTACATTTTATCTTTTAATCTGTCTTTCTCTCTGATATCAATCAACAATTATTAAACTGTTATCTTGGCCACATAATAGTTGGTAAGTCAAAATGCCGGTGTACCGTTATTGGACACGCTGCGTAGGCGAGTATTAAGTACTTTGTATGATCATAAAGTTTAATTAAATTTTTGAAAAATATTCTTTTAATTAAAAAACTAAGAGGTCTTTCTCCATAGCTACTTCAAGCCTTCATTTTCAGGTAAAAATGTTTAAAGAGCAGCGCTACTAGAAGAAGCTTGCAAAGTGGAAATATGGCAGGCTAGCAGTATTGTGCCATATTACTTGTCATAAGTCACTTGCAAGAAGAAAAAAAACTTAAGCTTCTTCAGTCACATGTCATACTAAGGCCATTTTTATTGGCAAAGAAACCACGCCTCTGTTAATAATTGGCAATTTTACATGCTTGCATTGCTTAATGCATAATTTTTTGTTTGCTATTTTATGCATGATCTCTTAGGCAAATGAAATTTATCAAGACTGTTAACAGTATCTGTGCCATCATAATAGGTGTTAGTTTTAAAGCTCTT